GTTGAACAGAGAGGGAGAGAGAGAGAGAGAGAGAGAGAGAGAGAGAGAGAGAGAGAGAGAGAGAGAGAGAGAGAGAGAGAGAGAGAGAAATAGAGATGGAAAGAGGTGAGAGAGAAACAAAGAAAACCACCTGGCAATCATGTAGCTCATAATGCACATTCATAAATATACGCACATATAAATACCTAGGCGAGTTTATTTAGTTAATTATATCGTCAAATCAGGGCCAGACCTAGACTTGATAAAGCCCTAAAAGATATAAAGCCCTGAGACTCTTGTCGATTTAAATCACATAGGTCATGTTTTAAATTTCACCAACCACTTTTTAAATTACATCAGCCTCCTTTTAAATGACCCAAACCACCTTCTAAATGACATCAGCCAATCTAATGAAACGCTAAAAGTTATAAGCCTTTTTAATGTACCGCTAATGGAACAATTTTGCAGTCATTTTTTTTTTTTTGAAGAAATAATAAAGCACACATTTGCAAAAGAAAAACACATAAATTCTTCTTCGCGTTCACCAGCTGTAAACTGGTGGAAAGTTCTGGTTGTTCATCCACTTTTGGACTGCTGCCCTGTTCCAGAAGCTGAGTGTTGCGTGTGCATTCGTTTTACAGATCTGACTCATTTGTATGCAGACTGCTGGTTCCTTGCCTCTCAGGCAGATACACTCAGGCTTCGAAGGAAACTCCCAATTAGTCCTTACGACATGCTTTTGGGTAGGCAATAAAGATGTATTTAAAAAACCCATCTTAAATACTATAAATTCATTAGTTTATCAGGAATCCAAATGCATGTCTTATGATGTGAGACTGATAACCTCCCCATTCAACCAAAATGAAAAATAATTATGCCATTTGTTGCAATTCTAACAAATGAAAAGCTTTACTAAAAAGCAAGGAGTAGAATAAGACGGTAATATCATATTCAATAACTGAGATAAGATCAGGTATTATTTAAAATGTGCATATTTAAATGGCTACTTCTTAATTCGACTGATCTTTTTAGACTTGTCATAGACTTGTCATAGACTTGTCATAGACCTGTCACAAATATGCCACAGATCTTTCCAGCGGTCACCACATGTTCCATTTTCCCTCATCTCATAACATGGCCAAAAAATGATGACTGTCTCCTTCTGATGTCTTTGAGTAGTTGTCTTCGGGCTCCCGCCCCAATCGAAACCTCTTTGTTGCTTTTGTTGTTGTTGGCTGTCCAAAGTATTTTAAGCATTGTTCTGTAACACCACATCTCTGAGGCCTCAAGAAATTGTTTGGCCTGCCTACCGATTGTCCAGGACTTACAGCCATATATTAAAACTGGATTATGTAGCAAGCAAGAATTCTTTTTCTAAACTTCAATGACAATGATATATTGCATAAAATGTTCTTTATTTTATAAAATGCAGTTTTTACCTGTCCTATTCTATTTCTTATTTCAGTAATGCATCTTCCATCTGATGTTGTCTATGTGCAAAAAATACTTAAATTTCTGTACTTGTCCCAAAATAAAACCATTGACTTTTATTACACATTTAGGAATACTAATTTTCTTTTATACCGCCATTACTTCTGTCTTCCCACTATTCAAACTGATGCCAATTCTTCCACTTTCGTGCATAAAATAGATCTAAAAAAAAAAAAAACATCCATAATGTCAAATGTCAAAATTTCAATTTTACTTCACAAAATGTAATACAGAATAGTAAACATTTAAAAACATTTCATGTTTTGCATCCTTCAGTCAGTCAGTCTGTGGTAACTAATACCTAGGAATGAAAGTATTCTTAGTTTCATAACAAGTAACTAAACTTGTAAATTGTCACCGACAGCTTAGTTAATCCATAAAAGCGGAATTGGCTTTAAAAAAAATGGTTCCCTGTTGCCGGCATTAAGGCAGCTTCTTGTCACACTGAAGGTATTTCCAGTTGTACTAAACATACGTTTACTTGGTACGCTCATAGGTGGTGCACAAAGATAACGTTTGATAGTATGAACCAAGGTGAGAAATCTTGATTTTTTTTATTTTCCACCAGTCCAGAAACGGGTGTAAGGTAACGACTATTCGTATTCGGCCCGACCGTAACTATTCGGCCGAATACCGAATAGTTATTAGGTCCACTATTCGGCCCCGAAGCGAATACGAAGCAAATATTCGGTACAGCCATAGTTATAACCCCAAAATATTTCTCCCCATTTCTCAAATATAAAATTATTGATTAAAATGAAATTGGATTAAAAATTAATTAACAGGAACCTGCAGCTGGCAAAAAATGAAAGTTTTTCGATTCCTAAAGATTGTGAGATGCTAAGCTGTACCTTAGTTATTTCGTATCTAATTCCAGCACTAAGTTACATATAGGACCCCTTTTCACGCCTTTAGGCGTGTAGGGCATATAGGGCTAGACCTATATTTTTAAAGACCAATCGGCACAAGATTAGTGATGTCGCCTTCACTTCCCGGGACTGCACCCGGTACCCACTCAAGGCTGGGCCGACCTGGAAGTCAAGGTCTTTTTTGAAAAAAGTCCCGGCCCGCCAGGGAGCGAACTAAGTAAAATATAGTCACATATATACACACACTTACATATTCACTCGCACGCGTATAGACACGGATACATAGAAACATCCAGAGGGCAGACACAGAGAGAAAAACTTAGAACGCCTGACGACAGGATATAATGAAACAAGCACACAGACTTGATCCAATGTTCATGACTGGGCAAGATAGTGAACTATGACCGATCACGCCTGTCGATGTGGCGCGTGATGATGCTGATGACTGTCACGAATATCCGCGGATGTTATTTGTTATAGTTATGGCATATACGTCATCAATGCTTTCTGTGTTTAATTTCCTTGTCTTAGATGATTTTTCTCTGATGGCCGACACTAACCACCCTCTCCCCTCTATTTTGGGACATGCCCTATACCTCCATTTACCTTGTGACCTTTCACCCCAAACAATCTCAAATGCGTATTTTAATTTGTTTTCTATATTGTTATAATTAAATAAAGCAAATACAAAGTAGATAATATACGCATAAGGAAAAAGTGAATTTATCACTAAATACTTTCTTTAAAAACTAAAACAATTATAAAAAATATGGGATAAGTTTGCAGCCTGGCACCCCCGGAAGAAAAGTCAGTTTGGCCTACAATGGCGGGAACAGCAACAAACGGCAGCAGACGGATGTTGTTGGTCAGCGTGTGAAGTTGTTGTCCTTTCCTCCACTACACGGTACTAGTTGCTTTAACTTTGTTGCTTGGTACATTCTGTGGTAATTGAATTGTGTAGTTTATTTTATTATTGATACGTTGCGATGTTTGATGTGAGATATGATCTTGCTGCAAGTGGTTGACGAAGTGTGCGACGACAAAAGAAGCGGCAGGATAAATTGATAAATTGATAAATAATGGCTGACCACAAGCATGGACTCTCGTTTCAGGATTGTTGTTAGTTTGTGACGCCAGAAACGGTCACCTACGGCGGTGATTTTGATAATAGTAATAGAAATACCACTCAGAACAAATCTCAGTCTACTAGGATTTACGGCTTTAATTATTTGTAGGGAATGACATTTATTCTAGTAAACGTATCCGATTGTTGTGAGTGTGTGTTTCCTTCTGTGTGTTGAGTGTGTTGTTGAAATAGTTGAATTTTAAACTGTTTTGGTGAGAACACGCGTGTGAATAGTGATTATAGTGTGATCATTGATGTGTTTAAGATGTGGATGTGTGTTGTTTATATTATATGTGTGCGTTTTAAATATCGATGACAGTCAACTAAAAAGAAATCAGTTTTAATGTTAAAAAAATAATAATATTTGTGTCTCTAATAAGCCCAGATAATTAATACACATTCTAAATCTAAATGACATGATCTGCCCTGCAGACAGTGCGTGAGTTGAGTGAGACAGCATTAATTAATTAAGTAAATTAATATTTATATACTTTACTACTTTTTATTTTATTTCTAAGCATATAGTTTTTTGCTTATTAGGGATTGTTAAAGTTGAGTTTAAGTCTCTAAGCGGACTGTAAACATCCTTTGAGTTCCTGTGATCTGATATTAATCACTATGTATACTCATACTGCTAAGCTAAAAATGTTGAATTGTATTTAGGCCTTGGTAGTAAATCCCATGTGGACGCAACACAGGCAATTATGTGCCACTCAGTTAGGTGCTTATAAACATTACTGCAAACTTGTCACCCTTCCTTACCTTTTGATTTCAAAATTCGTAACGACCACTGACTTAGTCTGTGAATCGGAGCATTTATTGACATTTCTGATTCATTGAATGAGTTAGTGTCAGAGTAACAATAACAGAAGCCTAGGACTTAACAAATAAGAGATGCCACAAGCTTAGATAGATTTCAGTTATTGTGGGTACCAAGTGAATTCATGTAGTACATGATATACTATGTACATCTGCATGGGACAACTACGAAGTAACAAATAACAGTTAGATTTGTTATTATGGGCACCATGCGAATTCATGTACATCTGCATGAGACAACTACGAAGTAATCAAATTAAAGTTAGATTTGTTATTATGGGCACCGTGCGAATTCATGTACGTCTCCAGAGGAAAACTAAAAAGTTAATACAATTTACAGATCATAGATAGATTTAGGTTATAATTGGCGTCAAGTGAATTACAAAAGCTTTTTTAAACACAATTTTGTGATGCCTTGGATTTCATGGTGAGGATTTACAATGTATGCTGTAGATTCTCTATAAATATTGGCTTGTATTCACTTTCACTTGCAACCACACATCTGAGTATTAACTGCACCTAATGTTGCTTGATTTTGGTGACTAGAGACAAGAAGCAGTATTTTCAGTGTGAATTCTCTTTACATTTTGTATGCATAATTACAGTTATATCTTGTGTATTTCAGACCATAAGTTAAGTCGCTAATATTGTTGTGTTTTTCCTGTAACCAGATTTGCCACTTGAAAGTTCTCTAGGAAGGCCCTAGATTATCCAACATGGACGACTACCCTATGGATTCAATACTCATAGGAGCAGAGGAGTTTGTTTACACAACCCATGTGACCCACCAGCAGCTCTTCTATGTGCACGTTGAAAGCAGATCTTCAATTCTGGATGAAATCATGAGTAAACTGGAGACTCGCTACAGCCACCTGAGACCTGAGGAGAAGCCATTGTTGAATAAAAGAATTGGTAGTTTGTGTGCTGCCAAGTTTACAGATGATGGTGTCTGGTATCGAGCAAAAATTACAGGTAACTGTTTATAATTTGTCATTTATGGTGAAGTATCAGTGCCACTGCTTGTCTGCCAGCCTAAAGCTCTTCGGGGCCCCAGCGATAAGTGCATAATGTAATACTCATAACCGTGACAGTTCCTTGGGTGAGCCTAGTATCAGAGCACCTTATGTTGGCTCTGCATTTGTTAAATGTTGAATTAAGAATCAACATGACAGCACTTGGGACACTCCCATAAGCTCTCTATCCCCATCTCCAGCAGCAAGCGAACAGTTACAATTCTGATGGTACCAGTAACTGTCTGATTGTATATCCGTCTTGCCTTTACCCGGAGTGTCGAGCGCTGGCCAGATCCCCTTGTAACTCCTCGCAGTGTGCTTGTCCTCAGACCGTAATGATTTATCTGTAAATCCTCGAAGTGTGCTTCTCCTCAGACCGTAATGATTTATCTGTAAATCCTCGAAGTGCGCTTCTCCTCAGACCGTAATGATTTATCTGTAAATCCTCGAAGTGCGCTTCTCCTCAGACCGTAATGATTTATCTGTAAATCCTCGAAGTGCGCTTCTCCTCAGACCGTAATGATTTATCTGTAAATCCTCGAAGTGCGCTTCTCCTCAGACCGTAATGATTTATCTGTAAATCCTCGAAGTGCACTTCTCCTCAGACCGTAATGATTTATCTGTAAATCCTCGAAGTGCAATTCTCCTCAGACCGTAATGATTTATCTGTAAATCCTCGAAGTGCGCTTCTCCTCAGACCGTAATGATTTATCTGTAAATCCTCGAAGTGCGCTTCTCCTCAGACCGTAATGATTTATCTGTAAATCCTCGAAGTGCGCTTCTCCTCAGACCGTAATGATTTATCTGTAAATCCTCGAAGTGCGCTTCTCCTCAGACCGTAATGATTTATCTGTAACTCCGCGCAGTGCGCTTCTCCTCAGACCGTAATGATTTATCTGTAACTCCGCGCAGTGCGCTTCTCCTCAGACCGTAATGATTTATCTGTAAATCCTCGAAGTGCGCTTCTCCTCAGACCGTAATGATTTATCTGTAAATCCTCGAAGTGCGCTTCTCCTCAGACCGTAATGATTTATCTGTAACTCCGCGCAGTGTGCTTCTCCTCAGACCGTAATGATTTATCTGTAACTCCGCGCAGTGCGCTTCTCCTCAGACCGTAATGATTTATCTGTGCCTCGGCACTGTTCACTCTCTCCCAAAGGGCCCTCACAACGTCCAGCTTGTCTTGCATCAGTTCACCACCAGGTGGTGCAGAACCGGCCAATCTATCTGCCTGCTCATTTGCCAACACACCAGCATGACCTGGAGAAATATCCAAAGAATGCTAACTACCCAGGACCTCTGTTGGGATGCTTGCCACTCTGGACGGATCACGTCTGTCTCTATCTTTCTCAGCATGCTCTGTGAGTCAGTTACAAGGATGACATGTGTGTACAGCTGATTCTCAAGCCAGCGTAAAGCAGCAGTGACTGCCTCCACCTCCATTCTCAAACTAGACGTTGTGATATCTTAGACCAGGCTTTGTTGCATCAAGCGACTTCCATTCGCCTTCGCTATGAACCCCTATGCACTTCGTCTGCCCCTCAACACAGAGCCATCTGTATGTACAGTCACATATTTTGGGCGGGAATTGTCATGAATCATTTGTTGAGCCTCTAATTCCACAGCACCAAAGTGATTAGAACCCTACACAAATCTGAAACCCGATCAGAAACTCTTTAACCCACTCCTCTCCTCGCCTAAATCAAGCCTGCCCACAAGAAAAATTGTGTCTTCAGCTAGCGCCATCCAGTACTTTCCTCTTTTAAGTCTGTTACCCGTAGCTCTACCCAGGGCTTCATGCAGGAGGTGCCTCTTGTCAGCAGCTACTCTGAGATATGACTTTCCTTGCAGAACTTTGAGCCTATCTGCAATAGTAAAATCTAGGGCTGTACCAAATACGAATAGTGGGACCAACTATTTGGCCGAATACGAATAGTGTATCATCATCATTAGGTGCCCTGCCGACTGTCGTGGGCGTTCATGCCTCTCCACAATCTGCTATCTCCTGCAGCATGTATCAGTTCGTGTGCTGACACACCTCCATGCCATGCAACAAGACTGTCAAGAATCTTCTGTCGTTGTCTTCCTTATACCTCCTTCCACGGACCTTTCCAGTGGTCACCAAATGTTCCATTTGTTCTTTTCTCATAACATGGCTAAAAAATGACGACTGTCTCCTTCTGATGTCTGTGATTAGTTGTCTTTGGGCCCCCGCCTCTTTCAAAACCATTGTTATCTCGACCGTTTGTCCGATGTAATTTAAACGCACCTTCATATTCTCGTTAGCAATATCTTCAAATTTGATTTGGGCGAAGACACTCTGAAAGAACTAAAAATGTATGATCTCTCTCTCTCTCCCTTCCATTTTATGCAGTTTGTACCACACAACCGGGTCGCAGTTTGGCATTTTATGACAGACTTAGGCAACACGCAAACCGGGTCGCAATTCCAGCCTTTTACGTCATTACAGTGTAGGCAGAAGCGGGAGTATTGTGTTAATGAGAGTTATTTTAGTCCATCGCAGTGTTTGCAGAAACGGGAGTAAGGTGTCCACTATTCGGCCCTGAAGCGAATATTCAGTACAGCTCTAGTAAAATCACATGCTGGAACATTGTGAACATTCTTTGTTCCATGTCCATTGCTGCCATAATTGACTCTGCATATATAGAAGCCTACTTGATGGCGGAAATGGATGATGTTCTGCCCCTGCCTTCTTTTGAGAGCTGACCAGCTTTACGTAGCTGCTCTAGATAGACCTGATGAGGACTAAGAACATGAGAACACACAACAGTGAGACTACACTGTGCCAGGAAACTGACCATAAAGGCTAACCTGGACAACAACAAATGTCTGCAGAAGTCTGTTTGAGCTGCAAGAGGCAAATATCCCAGCCATGTTGTAAGTGGACACAAAATGCATTTATCTCTTCAGATGAACACAGAAGAAGTCACTCGCTCATGACATCATGTGAAAAGTTGCAGTAGTTATATCAGACATGCTGTCTAGTACATTTGATTTTCACAGGCATTTCATTCAGGCCTTGCTTAGTGTCACCAGTCTACCTGCATGCAGTGAGTTTTTATCTCACTTGTCTGCTACCTGTCTGCCTACCTGGCAAATCTTATCTGATTTTTTCTTTATATGGAAGATGGTTTGGTCATATGTTGCGTATGCCCTGATACCAACTGCCACTGATAGCTGTGCTGAAGAATTACAATGAAGGCAGAGCAAGGAGAACACCTTGGAAAAGATAAAAATAACTGCATCAAGAATGAACTTAAAGACATGTAGATCAAACTTATGCAATGTAATAGAATGAGCAAACAGAAGATCCTTATTGGCCTTTTGTATGTGTGATCTGGACTCCCAGGTTGACCCGGTCTGTGACAGGTAGATGTGATAAATTTAAGCGATTCGATTTCCATAGACGCCAAGGATCGGCAGTCCCTCAAACTAGTTTTGAAGTTCTGTACTAGGTACTGTAAAAACCCTGCCACTCGATACTGGCTGTTCAGAAATGAGAATGCAAAAACGTAATCGCTTCAGTAGACCGTCGAACAGCACATATTTTAGAAAAAAAAAGACATTAGGTTGGTGTAAAATGTTCCTTTTTTTTGGAACAGTGTTAATTTTACATTTCTGCAATAACTTTTTTTGGTAAGGCTTTCCATGATCTTTATTGTGGTATTGATGAATTCTTCATCCATTTTTACATACAGTTATGAAGTTGAAAACTTTTCAAACTTAAATTTTTTAAACGACCAAGTCTTGTTAAATTAGGTTGAAACAAAATGGTGGACGACATGAATACAAAATCGTTTTTGTTGATGAAACAGTAATTTATCTTTTTAATTTTAAGACTAAAAATAACTTTAAAAAACTTGGAATATCACTGTGTCTTGTTTTCTGACACTCCTAAAGGCTGAAGTTGATTTATACATCCCATTAATGCAGGGAAGACAATAGCTTATAGGTAAATATGGAATGACTGATAGGACATTGGCTTATATAGTAAGTATAAAGAGGAATGATTGATGAGGCAAGCAAAGTAAGTTCTGTATTGAGCAAACTATTAGAATATGTCTTTGCCTAGATGGTCTTGTACCAAAGCCATAGGCTCTGCCTTCCTAAAAGTTGATACCAGTTATAAGACAGAGCCTGATCCTGCCTGTGTTTGGTCCAGGAAAGGAACTGATGACACCACCTAATCAAGGTTTGGCAGAGGATATTAAAAAAAAGTGTAATTTTAACCCCTGTACCTTTGTCCTGTTTGTCTAATGTAGGCTTGCTGAAGAATGGACACATTGAAGTGCAGTTTGTTGACTATGGCAACACAGATTATGTGACCGAGGAGCGCATCAAAGCAATTGATCCTGACCTTATCAAGTACCCCGTGCAAAGCTATAGGTATACACAGGTTTACATAAGTGCGTTGTCACATTTGTACATTTTGCCTTAGTAACATGTCTTGTGGAAGTAAACTGTCCATATTATGTGGTTGATGTGACATTTTCTTCAGTCATCTTTCTGGTTGCCTATGTTTGATAGATTCTCCAGTAATTTTTGCACGAGACCTAAATAAAAATTCTTGTGGTTGTAGTAAATTTCCCTTGCTTCCTTCACTGTTTCAGAAACAAAAGTGCTAAAATATTTTTGGTAATATCAAACATGATGAAATGTCACAATGGCTGGGAAAGAAAGTAATGGTGGCGGGAGGTAGGTGTGGGGAAGACAGACACAGATTGACCACTGGAAAAAAACATAGGGGCAAAGGGAAGCACACAACACAGGGGCAAAGATGGTCATACAACATAGAGGCAAAGGTGGTCATACAACATAGAGGCAAAGGTGGTCACACAGCATAGGGGCAAAGGTGGTCACACAGCATAGAGGCAAAGGTGGTCATACAACATAGAGGCAAAGGTGGTCATACAGCATAGAGGCTGTTATAGGAGCAACAGTCGGTAAACAACTTGCCACATAATAATTATGACCCATAATATAAAAATTCCCCATTATTTTTGCCTGGTACACAGAATATATTACCCCTGTAATTTTGCTTGATATCTTGAATGTAAACATTCCCTACTTATGTTGGCTGTTACCATAGCCAAAGTTGAGTAACAGAAAGATGGGGGAGAACTTGTGAGTTTAAATTATACAAATTCACACACACACACACTAAGAACAGCATGGTTTTGTTTATGATAAAATATATGATATTGTCTCTGCAGGTGCTGTCTTGCAGATGTTTCCTGTACCCAGGGATTTTGGACTCCGGAATTGATTATCCAGTTTGAGGACAGAGTGATTGACAGAAGATGTAAGGCAGTGTTTGTTGGAGAGAAAGAAAAAGATGAGGTGAGTAGTTGTATATTTGTGTCTTTTTTAGTGACTCTTTGGGGAGGGGTGGGGGGTTTACTATGTCCTGTGCACCAGTTTTGGTCTACAAGGCTGGTCCTTGAGCACACAAAAACAAGTTAATTAATTACCAGAAACTGATCTTGGTAAAATCTTTAATCCTGCAAGTGGAAAATATGTTGCGGACAAATTCAGACATTAGGAGACTGTCTGTTAGTGGACTTTAATAATAAAATAGATGGTGATGACCAATCTGTTTCTCTGTTTGACAAATTTGTAGATCAAAACAGGGCCCTAAACTTTCTTGGCATCGGTTTGTCTGAGTGATAGAATCGTGTTGGTGGACATAAATGCTACATATATTCCACATATACACACACACAGTAGTGTCTTTCTGTTTGGCCTATGACCAGGTTGGTAATTCTAAACAGGGTATGTGGAAAAAAAAAGGTTACCCATCCCTGCTTCAGATGTACAGGCATTGCAGTGTCTTGGTTAGTGATTCTTGTTATGTGTGGATGGGAAGGCATGTCAGTATATTGTTTCAGGAAGAGAAGTCGTTCAAGGAGGGTTTTCTTGCCATTTGTATAGAGGGCATATTGTGCCAGGCTCATAATCTTATACAGCAGACTATACTCAGTGGGTGATATGGTCAGCAACACACATACTAGGTAATGTGGTCAACAACACACTCAGTGAGTAATGTGGTCAGCAACACATGCACTAGGTGATGTGGTCAGCAACACACGCACTAGGTGATGTGGTCAGCAACACACTACTAGGCGATGTGGTCAACAACACACTCAGTGAGTAATGTGGTCAGCAACAGATGCACTAGGTGATGTGGTCAGCAACACATGCACTAGGTTATGTGGTCAACAACACATGCACTAGGTGATATGGTCAACAACACATGCACTAGGTGATATGGTCAACAACACATGCACTAGGTGATGTGGTCAGCAACACAATCACTAGGTGATATGGTCAGTAACACATGCACTAGGTGATATGGTCAACAACACATGCACTAGGTTATGTGGTCAGCAACACACGCACTAGGTGATGTGGTCAGCACTACACGCACTAGGTGATGTGGTCAGCAACACACGCACTAGGTGATGTGGTCAGCAACACATGTACTAGGTGATATGGTCAGCAACACATGTACTAGGTGATATGGTCAGCAACACACGCACTAGGTGATGTGGTCAGCAACACACGCACTAGGTGATGTGGTCAGCAACACACGCACTAGGTGATGTGGTCAGCAACACACGCACTAGGTGATGTGGTCAGCAACACACGCACTAGGTGATGTGGTCAGCAGCACACTAGCTGCTTTAACTTTTCATTTCCTGGATCCCAATTTAGATCTTTTTGACCTGGGAGCACTGAGTCAGTTATAGATTTTACTTCTATATGCATTCAGACTGCAGACCTCTGGGTCAGAAGGGAAGTGTTTGGCCACTAATCTGTCATGACAGGGTTTCAGAGTCTGTTTAGCCATCCCTTGCCTGTCTTTATTCTCTTGTCCTGTTTTGAAGAAGCGTTGGGTGCAAGCCTTAGTATGTGCTACATAGATGCTGGTATTTACAGTCTCAGATAATTCATCTATCCGCCTCTTGCAGTATTTGTGACATCCGTCCAGTGATTTGATTTGTTGATGGCTTAATGGCTTTACACACATTTGTTTTACAGTAAGGGAAATTCTAGGAAACTTCATAGGAAATCAAAGTCTCCGTGTTCACTGTACAACACTGCTAGGCTACTAGTGAATCATATCATCATTTATATTTGTGCATTTCTAGACGTACCTGCTACAGATGTTTGACAGTGAAGGCAACAATATCAACCAGTTGTTTGGAGCTGCCAGCCGGCCAGACAAAACACATCTCCAGGTAGGTGCAAACAGGTTAATTAATCACTTTGATATGGGGACTTGACCTTATTGGCAAGCACTGGAATGAACTGTTCAGCCATGTTATCTAGATGAGACCTGAATAGAGCTACTATTTTATACCCATATAACATAATGTGACACTGGGTTGTCATACCCATATAACATAATGTGACACTGGGTTGTCATACCCATATAACATAATGTGACACTGGGTTGTCATACCCATATAACATAATGTGACACTGGGTTGTCATACCCATATAACATAATGTGACACTGGGTTGTCATATACCCATATAACATTATGTGACACTGGGTTGTCATACCCATATAACATAATGTGACACTGGGTTGTCATACCCATATAACATAATGTGACACTGGGTTGTCATACCCATATAAACATAATGTGACACTGGGTTGTCATACCCATATAACATAATGTGACACTGGGTTGTCATACCCATATAACATTATGTGACACTGGGTTGTCATACCCATATAACATAATGTGACACTGGGTTGTCATACCCATATAACATAATGTGACACTGGGTTGTCATACCCATATAACATAATGTGACACTGGGTTGTCATACCCATATAACATAATGTGACACTGGGTTGTCATATACCCATATAACATTATGTGACACTGGGTTGTCATACCCATATAACATAATGTGACACTGGGTTGTCATACCCATATAACATAATGTGACACTGGGTTGTCATACCCATATAACATAATGTGACACTGGGTTGTCATATACCCATATAACATAATGTGACACTGGGTTGTCATACCCATATAACATAATGTGACACTGGGTTGTCATATACCCATATAACATTATGTGACACTGGGTTGTCATATACCCATATAACATTATGTGACACTGGGTTGTCATATACCCATATAACATTATGTGACACTGGGTTGTCATATACCCATATAACATTATGTGACACTGGGTTGTCATATACCCATATAACATAATGTGACACTGGGTTGTCATACCCATATAACATAATGTGACACTGGGTTGTCATACCCATATAACATAATGTGACACTGGGTTGTCATACCCATATAACATAATGTGACACTGGGTTGTCATACCCATATAACATTATGTGACACTGGGTTGTCATACCCATATAACATAATGTGACACTGGGTTGTCATACCCATATAACATTATGTGACACTGGGTTGTCATACCCATATAACATAATGTGACACTGGGTTGTCATACCCATATAACATAATGTGACACTGGGTTGTCATACCCATATAACATTATGTGACACTGGGTTGTCATACCCATATAACATAATGTGACACTGGGTTGTCATACCCATATAACATAATGTGACACTGGGTTGTCATACCCATATAACATTATGTGACACTGGGTTGTCATACCCATATAACATAATGTGACACGGGGTTGTCATACACATAATGTGGGTTGTCATACCCATATAACATAATGTGACACTGGGTTGTCATACCCATATAACATTAATGTGACACTGGGTTGTCATACCCATATAACATAATGTGACACTGGGTTGTCATACCCATATAACATAATGTGACACTGGGTTGTCATACCCATATAACATAATGTGACACTGGGTTGTCATACCCATATAACATAATGTGACACTGGGTTGTCATACCCATATAACATAATGTGACACTGGGTTGTCATACCCATATAACATAATGTGACACTGGGTTGTCATACCCATATAACATTATGTGACACTGGTTGTCATACCCATATAACATAATGTGACACTGGGTTGTCATACCCATATAACATAATGTGTGACACTGGGTTGTCATACCCATATAACATAATGTGACACTGGGTTGTCATACCCATATAACATAATGTGACACTGGGTTGTCATACCCATATAACATTATGTGACACTGGGTTGTCATACCCATATAACATAATGTGACACTGGGTTGTCATACCCATATAACATAATGTGACACTGGGTTGTCATACCCATATAACATAATGTGACACTGGGTTGTCATACCCATATAACATAATGTGACACTGGGTTGTCATACCCATATAACATTATGTGACACTGGGTTGTCATACCCATATAACATAATGTGACACTGGGTTGTCATACCCATATAACATAATGTGACACTGGGTTGTCATACCCATATAACATAATGTGACACTGTGGGTTGTCATACCCATATAACATAATGTGACACTGGGTTGTCATACCCATATAACATTATGTGACACTGGGTTGTCATACCCATATAACATAATGTGACACTGGGTTGTCATACCCATATAACATAATGTGACACTGGGTTGTCATACCCATATAACATAATGTGACACTGGGTTGTCATACCCATATAACATAATGTGACACTGGGTTGTCATACCCATATAACATAATGTGACACTGGGTTGTCATACCCATATAACATAATGTGACACTGGGTTGTCATACCCATATAACATTATGTGACACTGGGTTGTCATACCCATATAACATTATGTGACACTGGGTTGTCATACCCATATAACATAATGTGACACTGGGTTGTCATACCCATATAACATAATGTGACACTGGGTTGTCATACCCATATAACATAATGTGACACTGGGTTGTCATACCCATATAACATAATGTGACACTGGGTTTGTCATACCCATATAACATAATGTGACACTGGGTTGTCATACCCATATAACATAATGTGACACTGGGTTGTCATACCCATATAACATAATGTGACACTGGGTTGTCATACCCATATAACATAATGTGACACTGGGTTGTCATACCCATATAACATAATGTGACACTGGGTTGTCATACCCATATAACATTATGTGACACTGGGTTGTCATACCCATATAACATAATGTGACACTGGGTTGTCATACCCATATAACATAATGTGACACTGGGTTGTCATACCCATATAACATAATGTGACACTGGGTTGTCATACCCATATAACATAATGTGACACTTGGGACATTATGTGACACTGTTGGCCGATATAGTATTATGCAACACATTGTTGTAGGTATGTTGCAACACATTGTTGTAGGTATGTTGCAACACATAGTTGTAGGTATGTTGCAACACATAGTTGTAGGTATGTTGCAACACATAGTTGTAGGTATGTTGCAACACATAGTTGTAGGTATGTTATAGGTATGTTGCTAAAAATGTATTGGCCATCTTGTATAAACTCTCTGGCCTTTATTTCTGCATTCATACTTGAAATGGCAATTGTTAATTGTGGTTTACAGCCAGTGTGTGATGTTATTGCTTTCTGTACAGCACATTAGATTTAAGCCAACCCCTTTTATAACGTGATGGTTGAGGGACAGTGGGCATAATCTTTATCCCACCCTCCACATGTGCACACACAAGGTCTGGAAACATTCACAATATTGAGGGACAGTGGGCATAATCTTCACCCCACCCTCCACACACAAGGTCTGGGAACATTCACAATGTTGAGGGACAGTGGGCATAATCTTCACCCTACCCTCCACACACAAGGTCTGGGAACATTCACAATGTTGAGGGACAGTGGGCATAATCTTCACCCCACCCTCCACACGTCCACACACAAGGTCTGGGAACATTCACAATGTCGATAATGACACAGCATCTTTGTTTATTGAAGACATGTTCTGACTGTCTCATTGTATGGACATTCAATGTTTATGGATAAAAATATACTATCTAGGTTGTACATACATTCACTGTTAATGGAGGAAAATATACTATCTAGGTTGAATGAACATTCAGTGTTTATGGAGGAAAATATACTATCTAGGTTGTACATACATTCACTGTTAATGGAGGAAAATATACTATCTAGGTTGAATGAACATTCAGTGTTTATGGAGGAAAATATACTATCTAAGTTGTATGATTATTCACTGTTTTTGAAAAAAAAATACTATCTAAGTTGTATGAACATTCATTTTGAGGTATTATTTTTTTCGGAGGAAATAATACTATCTTGGCTGCATGAACATTCACTGTTTAATTCCTGCTACACCACCTTTTTTTCCCCAGAATGGAACATCTCATGGAAGTGGTTTTAGAGAATCCTCATTTGATGTTGGAACTGTCTTTCAGGCTGCTGTTGTTTATGTGAAAAATCCTGGCCTTTTCTGGTGCCAAAACACACAGTTTGCCAGTGACATTTTAATCTTGTCCGAGGAGCTGTCCCGTGTGCACATGGTCCAGGAGATGAAACCACTAGTGGACGTGCGCCCGGGGGCTGTTTGTGCGGCTAAATTTAGTGAAGACGAGGCCTGGTACCGGGGCATAGTTCACAGTGTGTCTGGTAACCAAGCCAAAGTTTACTTTGTTGACTACGGCAACACAGAAGTTGTCAGTCTGAATGTGGTGTGTAACCTCAAGCCTGAGATGAGATCCATGCCAGCCTTGGCAATCAAGTGTCGGCTGAATAATGTGGACAACAAGGGCAGAGAGTGGAGACCAGACATAATTGAGGCTTTTGAGGAACTGGTAGTTGACAAGGAGTTTGAAGTGAAAGTTGTGGGTAAAGAGGGTGACATTTATGTTGTGACATTGTTTGATGTTGTGGATAACAAAGATGTTGGGGCTCAGCTACAGTCTATAATGCGAAGCGTAAATCTGGCAGCCACAAACCAGGATATCAACTGTAACAAACAGATACCCTCAGCTGCTTCTTCTGGCATTGGGCCGTCACTGAATGTTGGCAGCAAGGTGGATGTCTACTTATCGTGGGTTGACAGCCCAGGGGATTTCTGGGTGCAGCTGAGCAGCGCAGAGCAGCTTCTGGAGCAGATGTCTCAGCAGCTTCAGGAGGTGTATTCTCGCCAGCAGCCATTAGCCCAGCCCACCCCTGGAGCATTCGTTGTGGCCAAGTTTTCTCAGGATGGGATGTGGTACAGGAGTCTGGTGCTGAAAGTGTTCGAAGACGGCCATGTGCGTGTGTTGTTTATAGATTATGGTAACTCAGATGTAGTCCCTGTCACGGACCTGCGCCAGGTGACAGCTGCATTTGGTCAGGTGATACCTCTGGCTTCTCGTTGCTGTCTGGCAGGAGTGAAGCCCTTATCAAAGGGTGACAAGTCATGGGGGGTTGATGCCAAGAACATTCTGGAGAAACTCACTGACAATGGGTGCCAATGTGAACTTTTGAGTGAAACAAACTCTCTTAAAATTGTCAGTTTAAAAGTTGGCAGTCGAGATGTGGCCAGGGAGTTGCTGAACCTGGGAGTTGTTGCCGAGTCTACATCAGAGTCAAAGACTGTCACCCCTTTATATTGGCCTGAGTTAACAGTAAAAAAGTCTGAAACAAAAGAAGTTGTTGTGACACACATAGACTCCCCAAAGAATTTTTTCTGTCAGATAACTGCAAACATTCCATTGCTACGAGACCTCATGAAGCAGATCAGTCAGCAGTATGCAAGTGGTGACCACACCCCACTGGAAGAACCCATCCCAAACCAGGCCTGTGTAGCATTCATCAGTAAAGAGAAATCCTGGTATCGTGCCAAAATAACCAGCATATCTTCTTCAACATACAGTGTGCAATTTGTGGATTATGGCAACTCTGATGTAGTGCCCAAATGTAACGTCTTTGTGGCAGAGCCCACACTGATGGCGCTGCCAGCTCAAGCGTTTCCATGTTGCATCTCTGTCAGCTCAGATTCAAGTTTCCTCACAGAAGCATTTAAAAAAGCAGTTTTCAAAAGAGAACTACAGATGCAGGTTCTAGAAGTATCTGCAGGCAAAGCTGTTGTTGAGTTATTTGATGGAAAAACCAAAGTCTCAGATTTACTTTCAGGTAGCAAGCATGCATCAGGAGAAGTAGATTTTGTACCTGCAAAGAGGATTCCAGTTGGTTCAACTGTGAAAGCCTTTGCCAGTTTTGTGGTGTCACCCAACAAGTTCTTTATCCAAATGACTGGAGTTGATGTAGAGCTAGCAGATCTCATGGACAACATAGCACTTGTGTACAGCTCTGATGATCCACCTCCAGCGATTAACAGTCCTCACTCTGGGCAACCCTGTGTTGCTCTTTATGCAGAGGATGACAGTTGGTACAGAGGCCAGATTGTGGCTGTTAAAGGAAGTGCTTGCGTGGTCATGTTTGTAGACTTTGGAAATGAAGACACGGTCAGCAATAAAAACATCAGAGTGCTGACACCAGAGCTGGCTCAGGTGCCGGTGCTGGCCTACAGGTGTTCTGTACATGGTGTGCCAGAAACAGAGTGGTCAGAGGATGCTCTAGAATATTTTGAGACACTGATAATGGAGCAGGAGCTGACCTGCACTTTTGTCACCCCCTCAAGTGTCAGGGTTATGATTGGTACCCAGGATGTTGCCAGTCTGTTGCTGAAGACACGTTGTGGTGCTACCCCTGAGATTTCATCTCCGCTTGGCAGGGAAAGGGAGTCCGACTCAGATGTTAGCAAAGGATCCAAGCTAGGACAGTCCAGCCATGAGGCCAAGGCTGGGAGAGGAGGTGGGTCAAGTGATGATAGTGCTTGGGACAATAATGACGAGACAGGTGCTGATTCAAATGCTTTTGGTAGAAGGGGGGAAGATGGAGTTAAAAGTCACTTGAAATATACAGATATTAGGAGAGAAGAGCTAGGATCTGGTGATGACAGGGGCAGTAGAGCAGGTGGCGGCAGGAATGGAAGGGATTCCAGAGTTGAAGACGGGAGAAAAGACTTTGGATCTGGTTACGGTAGAGACAGGGGTGATAGGAGAGGAGATAGGGGGAATGTGAGAGGAGATAGGGAGGATATGAGAGAAGATAGGGGGGATGTGAGAGGAAGGGATTCTAGATTTGAAAATGACAGAAGAGGTTTGCATTCTGGTCATCATGAAGATAATGGGAGCAGGGGTGGAAGAAGTGTGGAATCTGGTGGCTTTAGAGACACCAGAGACAGGCGTGGAAGAGAGCCCAGATTCGAGGGTGCCCAGAGGCGAGATTTTGGGTCTAACGATGGGAGAGAAAGTGATAGTTCTAGTGGCAGTCGGCATGAACGAAACTTCAGATCTGCAGGAGCACGTGGGAGAGAACCAGATTTGGGCGGGGACAGAGGCCAAGGAAGTTTCAGATTTGGTGGCAGTCAGGAGTCAACATTTGGTAAAGGTCACAATGATAAGAGAACGACCACAGGTCAAGCCTTGGCAGACACAAATGCAGATTTCAAATATCCAGAGATCCCAGATGAACCAGAGAGCACTGTCTTGGTTCACATGGATGAGGATGGAACATTCTACCTTCAGCTGCCTTCCATGGAAAAGGACATTCTTTTTTTGTCCAGACGTGTAGCAGGAAGTTATAAAGGAGGAAGTGGGCCCCGACTCAGGGAGACCCCGATGGTGGGTACTGTGTGTTGTGCCAAGTTTGCAGATGATGGCAATATGTATAGGGCTAAAGTGGAAGAGATTCGTGTCGGTAGAGCGGTTCTGCGATACGTTGATTATGGCAATATAGGAGAGAGTGCTTTTAGTGACCTGAAATTCTTGTTTCCTGACCTGCTGCAGTATCCAGTTCAGGCCTTTCCCTGCAAGCTCCGTGGCTATAACTGGTCCCTTGAAAAGGCTGAAAAATTTGCGAAAGCAACTTTGGACAAAGAGCTGAAAGTGACTTTCATCGGCAGTACCTGTCCGTTTGAAGTGGACATCACGACACCTGAAGGGGATCTTCTGAAAATCTTGACAGGTGAATCCGCACCTCCAGTTGAGAAACTCTCACCAAAGCCTTCTGGGATGTTATCCAGATCCACTGGCTTTGAGAAGAAATCTTCGTCTGGGGGGTTTGGTTCAAGGGCTCCAAATTCTGAGAGTGACTCTAGGAAAGTCGGCTCCAGTTCACCTAGAAAAGGAGATACTTGTGAACCGCCTTCTATAACACTACCTAAACAGGTTTACTCTCCTCAGCCCCCACCACAAGACACTCTTGCTGCTGTGATCTCTCACGTTGGAAGCGATGGCTTTTTCTACTTGCAGCTTACAAAAGATCTACCAACACTAGATTCCATTTCAGAAAAACTTCAAGTCCTGCCAGAAGACATTAAACATCCAGATGTGTCCCCAGGTGCTTCCTGTGCTGCAGTGTTCTCTGAGGACTCAGCTTGGTACCGGGCTAAGATCACTGAAACACATGGCGATTCTGTTTCTGTATTCTTTGTAGACTATGGCAATGAAGACTCTGTCACATGCTGGAAGCATCAAACCTCTGTCTCCTGAACTGTTAGCCTATCCACCCTTGGCGTATCAGAGTCAGTTCCCCGAGCTGGGTGCCTTGTCCACAGATGCCCAGGCTAAACTAGCAGAATACCTGACAGAACACCAGGTAACGGTCACCTTTTGGTGGCCAGATGCCACCTTTTAATGTGTGCGTCAAGACTGAGCAGGGAGAAGATCTACAGGATGTAGTTTGTCCTCTAAAGAAATACCGCGCTCCAGTTGTCCCTTCAGAAGTCATGCCAGTGGGTGTCACTCACATTGAGGATGATGGGAGATTCTTTGTTCAGCTCTATCAGAACTATTCGGCTGTGACAGTGCTGCAGGATGATCTCGGCAATGTTGTTGGACTAGAGTCGCTGAACCTTGAATCAGCACAAGTGGACATGCCATGTTGTCTCAAGGTGGACACAGGCATCTGGCACAGAGGGACAGTTATTGACATTACTGATCACTCTGTTCATGTTTTCCTGGTTGATTCTGGAAAAACAGTTACAACTGATGTCGACAGTCTCCGATCTTTGCCTGTCCAGTTTTTGAAAACTCCACCATTTGCCCTTGAATGTCGCCTGAAGGGGGTGGAGAAATGGACTGGGTGTTTACGGGAAAAGTTCTCAGAAATGACCCAGGACAAGATTCTGAATGCTACTTTCTACAATAAGACATTTCCACTGAGAGTGTCTCTAGCCAGGAGCATAGAGTTGGACCTGCTGGGACTTGCTGCTCCACCACCGGACAGCCCCGTCAGGTCTCCAGCACGGAAACCCTCACAACCAGCGGTTCAGGCCACACAGCAGACAGGTATTGTTGACCACTTTCTAGTGATTTTTACAGAATAAAATGTGATTCACCAAAAATTTTTTTTTTTTAGCTTTCACTCCCTGTGGAGCACAGGCCCTTCAAGGGGAAAGGCCTTTTTCTCCTATGGGTAAAAAGTCACATTTATGATATTTTTTATTCGGTCTAACACTGTGGACACTTTTTATTATCTTTATAATAGTTTTATAGTAGTTGACCCACTGTCCCCTCCCCCCCCCCCCCAAATTTGAGCAAATGCTCAAGATAATAAGAGGAGAAAGTCGGAGTTGCTACACTTCAAGGCAAGAGGCCTACCATGAAAGATGAGGGTGAAGGGAGTAAACAATACACACAAAAACACAATGTGACATTAACACAAGCTGCGCAGCTAGTATAAAACAGGCAACTTCATGGATCTTCTTTCTGCAGCACTTGATGGCAAAAACAGGACAGAGGAAGACAAAGTACTCTCCTAACAAGCATGTTGTAAAATGGTTGATTAGAGGTTTGATGAAATTGGATGTGTTCATCTAGAAGGTACAAGTTGACTATAGTATGTGCAGTGTTACTTCTAGTCGGCAGCAGTTGTTCCATTGCCTGACTAGATCAGAGATACTTTCTAACAGTGACATTCTTGTCAATGTTAACTTCTTTCCACTGACATTTTTGTCCATCTTAACTTCTTTCCAGGTGTACATTGTTGTCAGTGTTAACTTCTAGCCAGTGACATTATTGTCAATGTTAACTTCTTTCCACTGACATTTTTGTCCATCTTAACTTCTTTCCAGGTGTACATTGTTGTCAGTGTTAACTTCTAGCCAGTGACATTCTTGTCAATGTTAACTTCTTTCCACTGACTTTTTTGTCAGTGTTAACTTCTTTCCAGGAGTACATTGTTGTCAGTGTTAACTTCTAGCCAGTGACATTCTTGTCAATGTTAACTTCTTTCCACTGACTTTTTTGTCAGTGTTAACTTCTTTCCAGGAGTACATTGTTGTCAGTGTTAACTTCTAGCCAGTGATACATTCTTGTCAATGTTAACTTCTAGCCAGTGATACATTCTTGTCAATGTTAACTTCTAGCCAGTGATACATTCTTGTCAATGTTAACTTCTAGCCAGTGATACATTCTTGTCAATGTTAACTTCTAGCCAGTGATACATTCTTGTCAGTGTTTAACTACTAGCCAGTGATACATTCTTGTCAATGTTAACTTCTAGCCAGTGATACATTCTTTTCAGTGTTAACTTCTAGCCAGTGATACATTCTTGTCAATGTTAACTTCTAGCCAGTGATACATTCTTGTCAATGTTAACTTCTAGCCAGTGATACATTCTTGTCAGTGTTTAACTTCTAGCCAGTGATACATTCTTGTCAGTGTTTAACTTCTAGCCAGTGATACATTCTTGTCAATGTTAACTTCTAGCCAGTGATACATTCTTGTCAATGTTTAACTTCTAGCCAGTGATACATTCTTGTCAATGTTTAACTTCTAGCCAGTGATACATTCTTGTCAATGTTAACTTCTAGCCAGTGATACATTCTTGTCAATGTTAACTTCTAGCCAGTGATACATTCTTATCAATGTTAACTTCTTTCCAGGAGTACATTCTTGTCAGTGTTAACTTCTTTCCAGGAGTACATTCTTGTCAGTGTTTAACTTCTAGCCAGTGATACATTCTTGTCAATGTTAACTTCTAGCCAGTGATACATTCTTGTCAATGTTAACTTCTAGCCAGTGATACATTCTTGTCAGTGTTTAACTTCTAGCCAGTGATACATTCTTGTCAATGTTAACTTCTAGCCAGTGATACATTCTTGTCAATGTTAACTTCTAGCCAGTGATACATTCTTGTCAATGTTAACTTCTAGCCAGTGATACATTCTTGTCAATGTTAACTTCTAGCCAGTGATACATTCTTGTCAATGTTAACTTCTAGCCAGTGATACATTCTTGTCAATGTTAACTTCTAGCCAGTGATACATTCTTGTCAATGTTAGCTTCTAGCCAGTGATACATTCTTGTCAATGTTAACTTCTAGCCAGTGATACATTCTTGTCAGTGTTAACTTCTAGCCAGTGATACATTCTTGTCAGTGTTAACTTCAAGCCAGTGATACATTCTTGTCAGTGTTAACTTCAAGCCAGTGATGCATTCTTATCAGTGTTAACTTCTAGCCAGTGATACATTCTTGTCAATGTTAACTTCTAGCCAGTGATACATTCTTGTCACTGTTAACTTCTAGCCAGTGATACATTCTTGTCAATGTTAACTTCTAGCCAGTAATACATTCTTGTCAATGTTAACTTCTAGCCAGTAATACATTTTTGTGTTAACTTTTAGTTATTGATACATTATTGTCATTAACTTCTAGTGAATGGTCTGATTACCACAGTTTCTTTTGCTCAGTCTGCACTGGAGTTCACAGCATCAATTGTAGTGTAAATATAGCACCCCTTTCCTTGCCTTTGGGTATTAGACCTATAGTTTATAGAGCAATCGGCACTCAAGGGGTCATGTGGCAACATCTCACCAGCTGCCATTACTTCACCTGGTACCCATTTAGGACTGGTTGACCCAAGAACCAGAGTCATTTTCAAATTTGAACCCATGACTTTCACATCCGCAGTCTAGCCGCTGTGTCATGGCAGCTCCTGAACTGTATTGTATTTATTATTTAGTGCTACATATTCCCCGTTTTATAATAGTAACAATTATTTTGAGGCATATTTTGTTTGTATCAATTAGCTTCACAAGCAACAGCTGAGTCGGCCGAGGCTAAAACTTCCTACATATCACATGTGGATGCACATGGTGGCTTCTATGTGCAGTCTGTGGACAGGGAGGAGCAGCTGAACGACCTGGCGGACAACCTGGAGACTCTGCTCTCCAACAGTGAGCATCTGCAGGAAGTGGCAGCCGGAGACGTTGTCTGTGCCCAGTTCACCGAAGATGATGCCTGGTACAGGGCACAGGTCGAGTCATGCACGGATGACGGACAGTTCGTCATTCGATTTATCGATTATGGTAATTCTGATGTGGTAGGAGAAGATCGGCTAAAAGCTCTGCCTCACGAGGTGGACATATTGATTGTCCCACCTTTTGCTGTCAAGTGTCGATTCTTTGGTGTGACGAATGATTTGACCCCAGAACAAGTGGACACGTTCAGAGAAACAGTTGCTGACCAGAGAGTGGAGGTTGTTTACAGGAGTCTGGAAGATGATGTCCACGAAGTTGAGGTGTCACTGGATGGATTACGCCTGGCGCAGTTGTTGGGGCTAAACACTCAGACTACAGTGCCAGGTAATATTGTCTTGTGAAGTTGCTCACATCTCTTGGTGTGGCACATTGAGTTATTTAATACTTATCAGCAATACTTAATCATTAGTTGATTTTTAGTCGTCATATTGGCATTCCCTGGCTGTAGACTCTGGTATGCAGACTGTTTATTCCTTACCTCTTGGGTAGATGCACTCTGACTTATAAGGAGACCGCTAATTAGTGACTCTTAAGACACTCCCCCCTCCAACATAGGGCCCCATACCCAAATCTAAGGTACATTTTGCTTTAAACATTTTTTTTAATGGACAGTCATCATTGTGAGCCCACAGTGGAGGCAGTCATGTTTCATCATCTCACTTAATCAACATATGGATCAGGTCCGTGCTCTTGCCTCACCTCCATTCATATGGATAAGCTATCCATGTCATCTCTTTTTGCCTACTTACCCTTGTCCATCAATTTTGTCAGTTGTCATCAAACTCTCTTTTCCATTCATTTCAAAACGTGTCCTTCAGGATGACTGCCTGTGTTTTTCCTATCTTTTCCCAGATGTTTATTGCATTCTTCTCTAATGAACAATGCTGTTGGTGATCTTGACATTCTTCTGGCTTAGTGAGACTCAGGTGAAAGTGACAGCCTTAGCTGATCATAGAAGTTTTAATCCAAATGTAGCAAAATAAATGTTTGTTGTTTCCTTTGTAGGAACCAGTCCTGGTTGACTAATTAGGGGGTTTTACTAGTCAGTTTGATAGTTTGCCATTGCTTTCTCAGTATGAGCTTTTTTTTTAAGCAGTATAAATGTACAGTTTGTTTTAGCAGTTGTTATGTACATGTAACAGTTTACATCTGAGATGTCAGCCTAGTTGATTGTGCTCCTATGTTTAGTTGTGTCTGCAGTCATGTGTGACAGAAATCACCTTTTGGTGCTGTTCACATTTGTTGTGGTCTCCCCTCCTGTCAGGAGAGATTTTGATCCGGTCCAGTGAACAGAGTTCACACATGGATGCTCATGAGATCAACACACCAAACACTGACCAGTCACCTTGAGTGGTTCTGTGTAAGTAGTCCACTCTAGCATTGTGGTCCTTTCTGTTGTCCATGAAAGGAAGTTTCAGAGAAGGCCATTTGCTGGCTACTCACAGGATTTTCTAGCTGTTTTTGAGGTTGGACACTGTAAAGAGGTTATTGAAGTTGGTCACTGTAACGTGTCCATTCACTGGGTGTAATCATTGCATTATGTACAGTAGGTTTTTCACACCTAATTTATATGAGTGTTGAGTGCAGTGAAACTGACTTGGTCTGTTTTTTCAGGTGTTTGTGGAAATCTTTTTCATGGTTATAACCAGTATTGTTTTTCCAATATTTTCTGATTTTCTCTTAATGAGACTTTTGGCTTCTGGAAAAGATAGTTGTCAGTTCTTTATGAACTGTTTTGTTTGTTCTTTATCAACAGTTTCTTTATCAATTGTTGCTTTTAGTTGTCAACTATTTTAATTCATTCTGGCTATCCTCCGAATAGCGGTCACAAAAAATAGCGGCCAAAAACAGGGCCTCTCAGTCACGTGTCATTTGCGCACTTCCGGCGACCTAATTTGCAGTTTACCGGCGACTACCGCCGCTGCGGAGAGTATCCCCACGCGCTCATATGGCGTGGATTGTGGCTAAACTAGATGGCTATGACTCACGAACAAAGCTGCAGGAGATGGGGAAGCTGCTGCTCGTGAGTTCCAGCCATCTAGTTTAGCCCCAATCCACGCCGTGTGGGGGATAATCTCTGCGGTGGTGGTAGTCGCCGGAAAACTGCAAATTAAGTCGCCGGAAGTGACACGTGACTAAGGCTGTGTTAGGGTGTTTTTGCGGCCGCCATCTTTTGTGCCCCTTATTCGGAGGATAGCCTTCATTCTTTATTAACTGTTTATGTCAATTCTGTTTCAACTGTTTATGTTAATTCTTAAACTGTTTCTGTCACTTCTCTATCAGCCGTTTCTGTTAGTTCTTTATCACCTGTTTCTGTTAATTTTTTATCACCTGTTTCTCTCAATTCTCTATCACTTGTTTCTGTTGTTTCTTTATCAGCTGTTTCTATTATTTCTTCAGCTGTTTTTGTCACCTCATCAACTGTTTCTTTTAGTTCTTTGTCAACTGTTTCTATTTTGTCTGTTCTTTATAATCGTTCTTGTATGGTCTTTGGCACCTGTTTCAGTTAAGTCATCATTTAAGTCATTATTTTTTATGTTTTTGTTGGTTCTTTATCACCTGTTAGTATCAATTCTTTATCAACTGTCTGTGTCAGTTCTTTATCAGCTGTTTGTGTTGCCAACTGTTTGTTGGTTGCTGCCTCTGCTCATATCTAGCAAGTTTGTTTTTAAGAGACCAGACGAGGTGAGATAGTGATGGAATGGGGCTACAGTGAGTGAAACTGACGCTGCCAGTGTGGGTTCCAGGGCCTTGTTGTTAAAGGGAAAACAAGAATAGATCCACTGCCTACCCAACAAGCATGTCGTAGGAGTCGACTAATTGGGAGCTTCCTTCAAAGTCGGAGTGCATCTGCTTGAGAGGCAAGGAACCAACAGTCTGCAAACAAATGTGTCAGACCTGTCAAACAGATGGAAACGCAGTACTCAGGTTATGGAACAGGACTGCAGTCCAGAAGTGGAAGAACAACCTGAACTTTCCACCGGAGTTTTCAGCTGGTGAACACGAAGAAGAAAGAAGAAACTGACGTATGGAAGATGACACAGGAGACTATCAGATCCTTTTTTTTGGCTTTCTCCTGAATATTTGATGGCAGAAAATGGGAAGCTGTCTTATTGTCAGTAGGTGGGTATTTGTGGCTATTGGATACACACCTGCTTGATTTACTTGCTGGCCGTGTGCCTTTTTTCAGGCAATAGTCTGTGCCTGTGTGTCGTCACTTGGGCCTGTAAGTGTTACAGTGAATAGTAACACTTAGCTGACCTTGCTTGTCATAAGGGACACTAAGGAGGGGTGCCTTGATTCTGGTTACCTTATCTTGTGAAGAAACAACTGGCAGATTCAACCAGTCATGGGTCATTCTGCTGCGGCTTTGGTGTGAGATGAGTGAAGTTGTCTTGGGGGGGGGGGGGGGCTTTGATTGAATGTTAATTTTCTGTTTGTGTGTTTTTTTTATCCAGATTTAAGCAGCGACCCAGATCAGAATGATTACTGTGAAGCTGTTCAAGATCTAGAAAAGCGTGAAGCCGAGCCTGTTGTAGAGAAGGCTGAAGACTCTGGCATCATGGAGTCCCAAGACTCCTGCAGATATCCAGGAGCCTCTTCAGATGTTGTAGATTCAACCGGTGGTGCCTTTGAGGTAGTATTTTCTGTCAAAGGTGAACCATCAGACACATCTCCACTGTTAGTCAGTGGTAGCTCGGCGGCTGCGGAAGCTGCCAGCTCAGGAGACTCAGCTCGAATCTCTGTGTCAGTTGATGACAGGATGGAAGTCATCATAAGCCACGTGGACAGTCCACACAATTTCTACATGCAGCTGGTCAGTAATCAGTCCGGCCTGGACGGCATGATGAACACCATATTTGAGCATTTCTCCAGCCTGTCTGAATCAGTGGGGTCATTGGAAGGCATCAGCGTTGGGGATGTTTGTGCTGCTCTCTTTGAAGATGAATCCTGGTATCGAGTCAGAGTGGACAACTTGCCCGGAGATGGTACCTGTGAGGTGAGTCTCCACCAGAACATAATCTTGATAAATATTTTTTTTTCAAACTATAACCCATTTAGGATTGGAATGTCATTTATTCAAGTCTTGATGGAGCCAGATTTGTTTAAAAAAACTACCATGGCCCCCAGCTTGACCCAGCCTTAATTTCGTAGCAAGTGCCGCCCTGAGAAGTTAGGTGGCCGGCATTATGTTGACCATGTTACCTGCCGAATGCTGATTGGTTCATAAATAAAAGGTTGCAGTTGGGATTTACGGCCGCATGACTAGTATTGGTGCCATAGAATGTGCAGGTTGGGCTTTTACTTTCGTCCCCAACAGAATCAAATCTCAAACCTTACCCAGCTCTCTGGCTTTAGTGCCTGCCACTCTAACCGTTTGGCCAGTATTTGTTTACCTTAGTTAAAATAATAGAAAAAATAAAATATGCATACTAATGACAAGCAGCTTTTTCTATAATTCTCTGGGTAAGTTGTCTAAAGGGTCACTTGCTTAAGGGTCAGTCGTCTAAAGGGTAACAGTCTGTGTCTGTAGACAAGCGTCAGATGCCTAATTGGGGGCCACGTTGATTCAGGTATAGGCTTCTGTCACATATTTTTAGTTCAGAATTTTTCTGGATAGAAGATTACATATCTAGTCTTCAGATGCAATGTAGTAGGTTACATTTTTTTCTTTAACTTAACAGAAGTGAAATAAATAAAAATACATAAAAATTAGATTGTTGGAAATTCAGATTCTAATTGATGAGCTGTCTTAATGTTTTTGTTGAATTTTCTGCTGGCACAGATCTTTTACCTGGATTATGGCAACACAGAGACAGTTGATATCACCAGTGTTCGGCACCTGCCAGAGAGGTTCCAGCGCATGTCTTCTTGGGCTTTAAAGGCAAGACTTGGAGGGGTCGCTTCTGCAGATGATCACTGGACAGAGGAGGCTGTGCAGGAATTCAAGAAGATGGTGGACAAGAGGTGAGTCATGCAGTCACAGCTATTTTGATGCGTCAGTAGTACGTACATAAGTAACAGTGTGTGTTCTCTTGCTATAATAGTCTATGGACCCCCCCCCCCCCCCCCCCCACACCCCGATGGCTGATGAGGCTAACAGCATGAAGAATCTTCGGCATATCGCCTGCAAGCAAGTTAAAGTTAAAATGTTGAGTTATGCATCTTTTCCCTTGCAACTTACGTATTTATGCCATGCACTCTCACTCAGACAGTAAACGGGCATTCTGAAAAATTCTTCCTAATGGCAAAGTACCATTTGTATAGGCTCATGAGTTAAATTGTCATGATATAAGAATTAACATCACAGCACCACAGCACAGTGCTGTGCCCCTATCTTCAACAGCCAGCGCAGAGTTAAAATACCAGTGGTACCACCAGCAGCTGATTATTTGTCTGTCTTGCTTGTCTTCTGAGCGTCAAGATCCCCTTCAGATTTTACATGTCCTCCCATAAGACCTTAAACACGATGTGTGTGTGTGTGTTTGCAGATCGTGTTCTCCAGCCAGCCATAACAATGTCCGCATCTTGCATCAGATGTACATATTGTGTATTGTTTAGTAGTGTTCTGAGTTTGTGATTCAGAATAACATGATATTGTAAATGTATAATATAATGGGGTTAATGTATAATAGGTGGCAGGTTCTGCTTGTTCATCCATTTCTGGATTCTGGTCTTTTTTCCAGAACTTGAGTTTTATGTGCACACCTAGTTGATAGATCAGACCTCTTTGTATGCAGACTGTTGGTGTTGGCGGTGAAGTGAACATCACGGATTGGTTGCCTTGTACAACATCCTTGTTAGAGGAGCTGTAGGTGTTCTTTCCTACCACCCAACCCAAACGGGATCCCAAAACCCACATAGAGAGAGAGCTCTGACATTTGACACAAACAATACTTCTGTTAAAAGAATTGCTGTTGTTGTTGTTATCGATCCAGCGGCGCATGAGCTTTCGCCCTTTGGCCCAATGCCATGTAGTAAAATTTGCATGTTTTCACAAGCTGTTTTTTTTTCTCCATACAAGGTGTTCCGCTTGTCTGGTTTCGAAGGGAGTCCATTCTTCTAGTCTCGCTGATTTTTGGGTTGAAAAAATTCATAGGATACTGTTTTCTGTGTATTACAGACATTTGTTTGCTGATGAGCTTTAATCATATGATACAATTGTAATTTCTGTACGTTTGTTAGTTGATATTCTTGAATGGTGTGATGGTTGTATCTGTTTCAGACACTTGCTGGCTGATATCCTACAAGTCAGTGAAGATGGGTCTGAGTGCACCGTCCACCTGCTGTACATGGGAATCCCTGTCCATGAGGGGCTGATCAAACAAGGTCAGAATTGTTGTTTGATTCCTGTAGACAGACACAGCAGCTAGCAGTCAGTTGTTAAAATGTCAGTCTAGTCTCACAGCAGCTAGCAGTCAGTTGTTAGAATGTCAGGCTAGTCTCACAGCAGCTAGCAGTCAGTTGTTAAAATGTCAGGCTAGTCTCACAGCAGCCAGCAGTCAGTTGTTAGAATGTCAGACTAGTCTCACAGCAGGTAGCAGTCAGTTGTTAGAATGTCAGGCTAGTCTCACAGCAGCTAGCAGTCAGTTGTTAGAATGTCAGGCTAGTCTCACAGCAGCTGGCAGTCAGTTGTTAGAATGTCAAGCTAGTCTCACAGCAGCTGGTAGTCAGTTGTTAGAATGTCAAGCTAGTCTCACAGCAGCTGGCAGTCAGTTGTTAGAATGTCAGGCTAGTCTCACAGCAGCTAGCAGTCAGTTGTTAGAATGTCAGGCTAGTCTCACAGCAGCTAGCAGTCAGTTGTTAGAATGTCTAGCTAGTCTCACAGCAGGTGGCAGTCAGTTGTTAGAATGTCTAGCTAGTCTCACAGCAGCTGGCAGTCAATTGTTAGAATGTCAGGCTAGTCTCACAGCAGCTAGCAGTCAGTTGTTAGAATGTCAAGCTAGTCTCACAGCAGGTGGCAGTCAGTTGTTAGAATGTCAGGCTAGTCTCACAGCAGCTGGCAGTCAGTTGTTAGAATGTCAGGCTAGTCTCACAGCAGCTAGCAGTCAGTTGTTAGAATGTCAAGCTAGTCTCACAGCAGGTGGCAGTCAGTTGTTAGAATGTCAAGCTAGTCTCACAGCAGCTGGCAGTCAGTTGTTAGAATGTCTAGCTAGTCTCACAGCAGGTAGCAGTCAGTTGTTAGAATGTCTAGCTAGTCTCACAGCAGGTAGCAGTCAGTTGTTAGAATGTCTAGCTAGTCTCACAGCAGGTAGCAGTCAGTTGTTAGAATGTCTAGCTAGTCTCACATCAGTTGGCAGTCAGTTGTTAGAATGTCTAGCTAGTCTCACAGCGGTTACTGCTGTTGCTAGGTTTGAGTATATGGGGGCAGAGCAGTTGCAGTCTCACCCCCTTACAATTCCTAGAAGATTCTGGAAATGATCTGGCGCCCATTGTTTATGAAGCTAGATTGAGTGGAATCAGAACCCCTTTCTGGCGGACAAGTGCATGAACTAGAAGCCACCAGAATTTAAAAGCATGCTAAAAAAGGTGATGGTTGCATCGAGGCAAGCTTTACTTGGAAGGTCATGTGTAGGGACTATCCTTATGATTTTTTTCTCCAGGCTATGCCTGCGTGATGGGGGATGAACAGGCAGACAGATTGGCTGGATCTGCACCATTGGGTGGTGAATTGATACATGACAAGGTAGATGTGGTCAGGGCCTTTTGGAAACAACTAATGAAGTCAGAAGAGAAACTGGATTATTGTGTTCTATAGAGAATGATGCACCCTGGTGTAACCAGAGGGTCTGGCTGGCTCACTACACTTAGAGGAAAGACAAGACGGACATATAACCAGATTACCATTTGTACTCTGCGTTGTCTGCTGAAGACGGGGACGGAGCACATATGGGTTTGTCCCAAATGCTGTGATGTCAGTTCTTGACTAAACAAAATTCTAGAAGCCACTACAACTCCATGTGTTGGAATAAGACAAGTCTGTCTACCATGGTGTCCAATTTGTCATTTGTGTGTAAAATGTTTGTTTATTGGAGGAAGCCTCTCTGTAACATTCATTGTGATCACTCCAGCTGTTGTCCTGAGGTTTATAGTTTCTGCTTTGGCACAAAGTTTGCGGAAGAGTTTTGGATTAGGACTGACAGTTCACACATCTATGACAGTTTCTTGCGTCTTTTTGTTCCAGGACTTGCTGTGGCCATTGATGATGGGCTGATCAGTAAGAACCTGCAGCATTTCTACAGTGATGGGGACAGCTATGGGGCAGGAGCTCGCACTGATGAGTCGGCAGGATGTTTAGAAAGTACACATCTAGAGGAGATGATACATCTGCTGAAGAGAAACTGGTGTCTCACAGAGTGCCAGTTAGACGAACATTGGGGTAACATTTGTTTTCTTACTTGCACTTCTTATGTTAGCTTTTATCATGTTTTCTCAACTTTCTGACGTCATATTTCATATATTGATCAAGGTTCAATAAACTTACTTGACAAGTCTGACATGGGTTAGCATGTCGTCATATTTCATATACTAATCTAGTTGTTGTAGACTTGACACGTCTAACATGGGTCAGCATGTTGTCATATTTCATATACTAATCTAGTTGTTGTAGACTTGACAAGTCTGACATGGGTCAGCATGTCGTCATATTTCATATACTAATCTAGTTGTTATAGACGTGACAAGTCTGACATGGGTTAGCATGTCGTCATATTTCATATACTAATCTAGTTGTTATAGACTTGACAAGTCTAACATGGGTCAGCATGTTGTCATATTTCATATACTAATCTAGTTGTTATAGACTTGACAAGTCTAACATGGGTCAGTATGTGTTCCTAGCAGCTATCTCACTTGTTGTCTAATACGAATGCTCCTCCATGTCACAATATCAGGCTGAGCATATTCTCTTCTAGATTGTCCTTTCCCAACGTTCATGTTGTCACACAAAATGTCAGTTTAAGGAAGCTGGGCTGTATAATTTCGATTAAAAAGTAACCAGTTTCAGTTGATGTTTCTAGGATGTTTCAGCTAACCTTTTCTTCAGACATCAGCATGAATAACTGTGAATAGAGCAGCTGTCAGCTTGAGATTGATGTCCCAAGATTTTATCCTCAGTGGAGCCCGAGTGGGTCAGAACAGTTTATCTGTCCTCGTTTGTTGGACACTCTTGACTTGCAGCAGATCTTGAGCCCCTATTTTGCTATGCCACAATTAAATCTGTGTCTCTACATTTAGCTTCAGCAGTTTGTATTTAAGCCTGCTATGACGTCCACACTAACCTCATAATACGGATAGATATCTCCGGTTCAGAGATAAGACTGAGGTAACTCATTAACAAAAACAAACATAAACACATCACTCACACACACTGATCCATATGTGTTGGCAAGTTCCTTGCCATGTTTCTGATGTTGTCTCTGACACTGTTGACATACCGTCCCCAGGTGTGTATCCAGCAGTCTGCAAGAGCTAAAGGAAGTCAATGCCTACGTCAGTCACTGTTCAGACATCTCCGGCCACTTCTGGTGTCAGCTTAGCTCCAGCTCAGACTTGTCAGAGATCAGCTCTTCACTGGCCAGCATCTATAAGGCACCATCCAAAGATCTCCTCCCTACAGAACCTCTGTGTGTTGGGGACGTTGTTGTGGCAGTGTTTGATGATGATGGAGAGTTTTACAGGGCACAGATTTTGAGTCTGGAGGGAGGTGAAGGAGACCCGGGTCAAGACAGTCAGAGTCCGGTTTGTGGATTACGGCAATGAAGGTGAAGTCTCCCAGGACCTGGTCTTCAAGTTGGATGAGAAGCTGTATGCTTGGCCAGCTCAAGCATTTTGTTGTTGCTTAGACAAGGTCCAGCCTGTGGAGGACACCTGGTCTTCAGAAGCTGCACAGAAACTTTCTGAGCTAGTGCTTCACCAGGAGTTGCTTGTGAAACTTGTAGGTAGGGAACAGGATGGCATCATGTTAGTAGATGCAGTGCTGCAAGAATTGGGCCAGTCTGTAGCCTCCCTGATGGTAGAGACAGGTTTAGCTAAAGGACCTGCCTGCTGAAACCCAGGCCAAGACGTCTTCTAAATGTTTAGAAACATCCACAGCGGGGGAAATTTCTGAGATTGAATCTCTGGAGATGTCACAGCCAATCTTAGAATCAACCACAATGGTTGGGAGCAGCCTGGCAAAGAGAGTGCCCACAGTCACCTTCGAGGAGGCAGGCGACCAACAGTTTGGGTAAGCTGCTTTGTTCAATCAAGTCACCTTTCATTCCTTCCAGAAACAGTGTATTTCCTGGTCCTGAGTGTTATTGGTTCATGTTGTTGAAGTTAACACGTGTGTGTGTGTGTGTGTGTGTGTGTGTGGGGGGGGGGCACAACTGAAATGTTTGTCTCCTCTCAGATTCAGAAGTTGACTCCGCTGAGTTTCTGGATAAGGGAGTCTCAGAAACATTTGAAACATGCTTTTATTGTCTCATGAGAGGATTCTGGACTCTCTTTAATACATATCATTGTGAGATCTGATTCTGCATGCAGCACTAGTCTAGGTGGCATTGGGCTGAAGGATGGAACCCCAGGTGTGGCCGGATCAATGACAACTTTCTTGAGAATGTAATAACAATACTGGAAATTTTCCTGCCCTATTTTACAAAGCTAGAAATACTTTAGAAATACAGGTTAAGGCTGAACATTTCTGTTGCTATTGGGGACGGAGCCTGTATAACTGAAGTCACACACTAACCTAGTGTTCCGGCATGCCTCCTTAGTGAAGACATTCAATATCAGTGTGGATGCTGATATTGAAATTGCTCATCTCCTATTCTCATGAGCTTGCAAGTTTGTGTGATGTATTGTTCTTTCTGTGATGACATATTATTGTTATCATAAGTTTGCTTTGGGGACCATGATGTGGATGTTATCTTTAGACTTCCATATCCACATAGGTGGTTGCCACTTCCACCTTTGACAGTGTCTGGTTGTCTGAACAGGTGCGGTGTACCTGGTTCTGCTGCCTTGTTGGGTTGTCTCCGTATTGTTGGATAGATGTGGTTCACAGAGCTGAGCTTGCCACACTAAGATGTTGTCAAGGCTGAGATGCAGTTGGGATTCTCCTTCCACCGAGTTCTGAGACTATAATGGTGTTTCTTATTCTCTGCCTACAGGAAAGTTTTTTTTTTTTTAAAACAGTAGGAAAATGATTAGAACTGTAAAATTGAGTGTATGGTTTGTTCTTGTAGATGGTGCTGTAATTTCTGCTTATATTGCAGGTCGATGAAACTAAGCCAGCACACAGAGTATGATGTGATTGTCAGCAACGATGAGCTGCCCAGTTCTTTCCACGTCCAGCTGTTGGAGCTTCGGAGCCAGTACTTGGCCTTGATGTCAGAGATTGCGGATCATATTGTTTCTGACACCTCAGGCGAAACTGCCCTCTTCAGCCCTGAACTTGGCGATGCTTGTCTGGTGCAACACTGTGGTCTGTGGTACCGTGGGCTTATCACCGCCAGGGAGTCAAGCTCTTGGAATGTAAGGCTTTCTACTTTGGGATTTTGGGGTAAAGTCAGAATTGACAGCACTGGAACAGCCTTCTTCATTTGCCTTTTATCCTCCAGTTGGAATTTTCAGCTAAAATTAACAAAAGTTTAAAATGTAAATAACTTGGATCCATAATTAATTGGGATGAATTGCAACCAGGAAAGTGCCATGTTACTGCACGGGTTCAACAGTGAAATGCTTGTGGTACAGAGATATGCCAGTGTGTTGGGAAATAATTAGGTGGACTGATTGGCTGGCTCTGCACTTTGTGTGAAATATTAATGCATGATAAGGCAGACGTGGTTAAGACAAACGTGGTTAAGACATACGTGGTTAAGACATACACGGTTAAGACATACACGGTTGAGACATACATGGTTGAGACATACATGGTTAAGACATGAATTCAGTTTGGAACAGCAAATTGATCATCAGAGTCAGGTGAGAGTGATGCAACCAGGAGTGATGAGGGAATCTGGCTGATACTCTGTGCTCAGAGGAAGGGCAAGATGGGTAGATATATAGTCAGACACTATATGGCACCATTAGTATTTGAACTCTGCGGTGGCTGCTGAAGATAAGGAAGGAGCGCTTATGGGAAAGTGCAAATTATTGAAGAAAACTGGCTCATAAACAGCATTCTATCACAGAAACTGTAGTACTTTAGCCACATCAGACAGCACCATGGTGTAGACTTAAGTAACAGAGCACATATTTTACCTATTAAGGTACATTTTTTTTCTTACGGAGGGTAAAACGTCAACTCTCCCATCCCAGCACGATCTGTCTTACAAGTAACATGTAGGTGTATACATCTGTCGGTAAACAACCCAACTCACTGTCTTATACACCACACAGTTAACATTACAACATTGTCTTACATACCTGACAATTGATGACACAACCTACTTACACATGACACAATTAACATTACAGACAGCAGTCTTACATACCTGACAATTGATGACACAACCTACTTACACATGACACAATTAACATTACAGCCAGCAGTCTTACATACCTGACAATTGAGGGTGCAAGTAACCAGAGTTCTGTTATGTGTCCCCATTGAACTGTGGCTAATTTACACATGTGTTCGTCATGGCAGGTGAAGTCAGTAGACTGTGGCTGGACTGTCAGTGTCTCCTGTGACAAGCTGATGGCCTTACCTGCACACCTGAAGGAACTACCTGCCCAGGCTGTGCCCTGTTACCTAGCAGGGATTGTTTCCGTGGAGTTGGAATGGGCGACAGATGGTGTCAGTTTCTTCATAGGTAAGTGGTCTGGATTTTCTTTTTATGATTCAACTTCATCAGTACCTTGTTGATGTTGGTGACCCACATGAAGTGATTAGGAGAATTTGGGAGAACACTAAAGCTGTGCATTATATGTGAATCTGATTTTTATTTGAATCTGCCGTCACTTATTTGCAGAGATTAGAAGGTGGTGTCATCAGATGATAGAATTGGTGGTCTATCAGCTGATAGATGTCACCTGGCAATTTATGATGTTGAATCTTAAAAGCAAGAAAGCTAATATTGCAGCAAAGATAAAGTGACTGCAGCAAAGACAAAGTGACTGCAGCAAAGATGAAGTGAGAGGAGCAAAGATAAAGTGACTGCAGCAAAGATAAAGTGACTGCAGCAAAGATGAAGTGACTGCAGCAAAGATGAAGTGACTGCAGCAAAGATGAAGTGAGAGGAGCAAAGATGAAGTGAGAGGAGCAAAGATAAAGTGACTGCAGCAAAGATAAAGTGACTGCAGCAAAGATAAAGTGACTGCAGCAAAGATGAAGTGACTGCAGCAAAGATGAAGTGACTGCAGCAAAGATGAAGTGACTGCAGCAAAGACGAAGTGACTGCAGCAAAGACAAAGTGACTGCAGCAAAGACAAAGTGACTGCAGCAAAGATGAAGTGACTGCAGCAAAGATGAAGTGACTGCAGCAAAGATGAAGTGACTGCAGCAAAGATGAAGTGACTGCAGCAAAGATGAAGTGACTGCAGCAAAGATGAAGTGACTGCAGCAAAGACAAAGTGACTGCAGCAAAGACAAAGTGACTGCAGCAAAGACAAAGTGACTGCAGCAAAGACAAAGTGACAGCAGCAAAGATGAAGTGACAGCAGCAAAGATGAAGTGACAGCAGCAAAGATAAAGTGACTGCAGCAGAGATGAAGTGACTGCAGCAAAGATAAAGTGACTGCAGCAAAGATAAAGTGACTGCAGCAAAGATAAAGTGACTGCAGCAAAGATAAAGTGACTGCAGCAAAGATAAAGTGACTGAAAGATAAAGTGAAGTGAAAGATAAATTGTGTAGTTTTTCCTTATGGGCTTGATGTTTGACTGTATGCCTATTGTGTGTCACCAGACAGTGTCCGGGAGGCCAAGCTGTGTATGTACGTGCTGGAGTGTGCTGACGATGGCAAGTACGGGGTCTACCTCAGTGACCTTGACAACACCAGCTCTCAGTCTGTGAACAGGGCGCTGGTTGACCTGGGCTATGCGGAGGTAAGGATGAGTTTCTTGTCATAAAGGCCAGGTCTTGGGTCATTGTTTAGGGGCAGGTTCAAGAGTTGGGTTGGGTCACTGTTTAAGGGCAGGTTCAAGAGTTGGGTCAGTGTTAAGAGGGCAGGTTCAAGAGTTAAGTCATTGTTTAAGGCAGGGCAGGTTCAAGAGTTAAGTTAGTGTTAAGGGGCAGGTTCAAGAGTTAAGTCATTGTTTAAGGCAGGCAGGTTCAAGAGTCAAGTCAGTGTTAAGGGGCAGGTTCAAGAGTTCAGTCAGTGTTTAGGGCAGGCAGGTTCGAGAGTTGGGTCATTGTTTAGGGCAGGCAGGTTCAAGAGTTGAGTCAGTGTTTAGGGGCAGGTTAAAAAGTTCAGTCGTTGTTTAGGGCAGGCAGGTTCAAGAGTTGGGTCAGTCTTTAAGGGCAGGTTCAAGAGTGAAGTAAGTGTTTAGGGGCAGGTTTAAGAGTTTGGTCAGTGTTAATGTGCAGATTCAAGAGTTCGAATCATTGTTTAGGTTTAGCAGTGAAAGAAATTCTTAGTTTTTGTAACATTTATAACTTTCATTGTGTGG